AAGACAGACATGATGGGATGCCACTTCTGAGATCAGGTTATAAAAGATTATGACTTGTGTTTTGCTACTTTCTCCCGTGCTTTGATGAGCAAACAGCCCTGTTGGAGAGGCTCATGTAGCAAAAACCTGGGAGTGACCCCCAGCCAATAGCCAGCTAGGAACTGAGGCCTTTAGTTCAACAGCTTCAAGGAACTGAATCCTGTCAACAACCACTGAGAAAGCTTAGAAGCAGATCCTGCCTCAATAGGACCTTGATTGCAGTCTTTTGAGATTGAGACTGAAGCAGAGGACCCAGTTAAGCCATGCTTGGATTCCTGACCCATAGAAGCTCATAGAAACTCTGTGCTGTTTTAAGCCACTGAGTTGTGGAGTAATTTGTTACACAGTAATAACAGTTAACTAATACAAGCCATAACAACTCTTTGGGATTAATGAAAGGATTTGTGGTCTACAGACCCAACTTCCTAATATGAGAACTAGGAATTTTAATGAAGAGAAATTAAATTAATTAAGTTTCTATATGCACCATTCTATGCTTGAAAACTGTGTATCAGGTAAGAGAAAGAATGAAAGAAAGTTGGTTTAAAAAGTCTTCGTGAATACACAAATGGAGCTGCTCCCTTCTGTGTACTTAGATGTCATCTGGTCTACCCAACTGGCACATAGACACCATCTTATTAACTCAGCAGTGTAAAGAATATATGTAATCATCTCATTTTTATGGTTTCTGGTAGCACTGGACTTAAACAGCTTCTCACTCCATCATGTGGTGTGGTGGGAAGAATTCTAATTTGGCCCCTAAGACTTCTGTCTCTTGGTGCATATTGCCCTGAATAAATCCCTCCCCTTGAGTGTGGAGACTATGATGGGATATTGTTTTTGTGATTGTGTTACATTATACAGAAATGAGATTTTTTAAAAGATGTAATTAAGATACCTAATCCTTCAGCTTTGAGTTAATCAAAGAGATTTTTCTCAGTGGACCAGACCTAAGCAAGTAAGCCTTGAAAAGAGACAACAAGCAGCAACAGATGTTCTCCTGCTGGTCTTGAAGAAACAGTGCAGTGTTGTAGTGAGGGCCAAATGGCGACTGAAGGGATTAACAGCTCACCAAAGTGGTATGAAAATTACTTTAAACTGAAAACATCCAAACAATGAGCAGCCACAGAAAATGCTATCCAAACTGAAGCAGAGCCTGCTGAAAATGTAGCTTCTG